TATATTCACTAGAGCACATTTTGCTATGCCCACAAGAATAATTCTCATGTTTAGCCTCCCGCAGAATCTTTTTGTTGTTAAGTAAATTCAGAAGACCACTTCTGGGGGAAAAAACTACATTCTGGGCTAAAATCCATTTATCATCACATTAACAATTCAAATCAACATTTTTAAACGGGTTATTAACAGTGAGATCTGGCAGGAAGACAAATGCAGCTCTTTCTCTTTCATTCCGTATATTCAAAGTTTCATTCAATATATTCAAGGTTCACTCCATATATTCAGACTTCATTCAATATATTCAAAGTTTCATTCCATATATTCAAAGGTTTAATTTCCTGAACTGCATGCCATAATTTGTAGATTAGGGGCACAAAATAAAAATGATGTTGTGAAGGCTTCATGTTGTTATTAATAACAGAATGTATGGTTGTTAATCACTGTGTCTCAGTTATAGGATTGCTCAAACACACCGTCACATAAAGCATGAAATAAAGAAAATAAATTAGCTTGACTCAATGTATGTTCTGAGTCTCACAACTCAACATATTGTTTTCTACAACAGTCTTATACAAATATATATAAACTGTTTGATTTTAATGTTTCTTGCACAGGGACACTGTTAAAGTACTTATAATAACTCAAAAATGATCAATATCCCAGTTCTTGTTACAATTATTGATCTTGAATTAGTCATTTAGTTTTTTTATTTAGCTAAAGGCTGCAAAGGCCCACAATGTGCAACTGAACTGTACTAAAATACTCCATCACACAGGCCTGCTCACACACACGCGATCAGAAATACCTGCACACATACTGCCAGTCAGTTCTCACCCAACAAACAGAGCAGAGTGAACAGAAAACTATTCTGTACACCATTTGTAAAAGTCTCACTGGATTCTAAAGGAATCAGTCACAATACAGAGCACGAGCCATCAGAAAGTTTTAATTAAAATGTAGTTCCGGTTTCTTTCTGCTTGAAGGATAATCTCCCGAAAACTAATGAGCCACAGACTTTATCAAGGCTGAATGTGCGTCTGTGTACCAGACATTTCTCACTATCGATTCTCCTGAACTTTGATGGAAGCTCGTATCGATCATGTACGATGATCCCACCTGACACACATCTGACGTCGTTTATCCGTCACGTGTCAAACACACACACACGTGAAGAAATGACAGAAGAATAACACTTATCTCCAGAGTGATCATCCATCGATCATCCGCTTGTTTCAAACCACGTGAACAAACTTTCACTGGACGTCGTTGACCTGGCAACGGTGCGTCCACGGAGACCCTGTTGCCATGGCGACCCTGCCACAGTTAGCGTGGCCAGGTTCGGTTCCTGGTGGGATCGTGTTTAATGAAGGTAAGGTTTGTATCCAGTGGTTCTATTTAGGGAGGATTATATTTTTTAAATTACAGAGAACTAAAGGTCAGCAGCATGTGTTCGTCTTTTCATTCTCCTATTAAGCTTGTAGTACTTTTAGCTACTCACCTGCTAACTGCTGAATCCAGCCCTCATTAGCTTTAGCTGCTGTACGTCGTGTTGAATGAACTCTCAGGTTGTTTGTGCTGTCGAGGGAAAGTTCCGGTTGTTTTAAAAGAACAACAGAGGGAAACGAACTCGTTTATAATATGTCATACAGTAAGAAACACCGCAGCTATCAAATAAATGAATACAAATAAAGTAATACAATAAAATACAAACATCCAGACCACTATTACCTGACACATTAAGTCAGTCACAGTATTAGTTTCTTCACAGTTAATTCATAGTTACATGTACTGATGCACTTGTACCTTACTAAAGTATTCCTGTTTAATTATGTTGAATATGTAGATGGAACAATATTCACTTCACTAGAGTTTAGAAGTGAATCCTTTATTTTAACTACACCGTCTATTTGACAGCTAAAGCAACTATTTACTATTCAAAACACATGTGAACTTGTATCAAACTACATGGGAGCTGATTAAATCATTTGCTCTATATTCACACTGAATCTAATAAAACCTAAAGTACTTTAAATGTCCTCAGTTACAACCTTGAAATGGTTCTATGACAAATATGATAAAACACTATATTGGGGCCTTTCTTTATGAGGAGTATTTATACTTTGAGCAAACGGTCATGATAATACTTGATATACTAAAATAATAGTTTTTAGCTATTTCTTTCTAATAAGTTGTAAATATTTCCCCCTGAAATAAAGGTCTTAGTACTTCCACCATCACTTCATACATGTCTGCGTGGTTTGATTGTGCCTGAGACAAATTATGGAGACGGCAGTGAAATTATTATAGTACAGCACAAAAGAAAATTGTTAGCATAACGTAACCATGTTTTTTCTCATTTAATGTTCTCGTACCCACAGACGGGTACACCAGACACAGAGATGGAAGCAGTTTGCAAAGCTGAGACATCGAGAGCGGAAGCTTTGGAACTGTCCAAGGCAACGCAGGTACAGACGTCAACACAGAAATTGTTCCTAAACACTTTATTATTTAAAAGAAATGTCAACTCAAGTCAATAACTCGTGTAACCCAACATATGGGTTTTACAGGCACACACAGCCCTTATTATTATTCTACCAGTGAAAATAAATAGTTCATTGAATTATAAGGTAACTGTTTTCAAAAGGTAAGAGTTAATATTGACTGTTATGGTTTATCTGTCAGCTTCCAGAGAGCACCAACTGCCTCACATGCTCAGAAGATGGAAGGTACCTCGGTCTGGGTCACTCCCAGGGCTTGTCTGTGTGGTGTACATCTTCTCTGACCTGTGCTGCAGACTGGCTGGAGGACAGACTGGAAATTACATCTCTTCAGATGACCAGTATGGCAGAGTCGTCATATCTACTCGGCACTATTGATGACATGGGTGGGTCATTTGCCTCTGATAAGTCACTATTTCTTTACATTTTCTGTTGTTTTTATTCTCCCTTTCTTGCTTAAAACCAGTTTCCCTCAAATGTCAGGTTTTCTTCAGTTGACAAATTGCAAATGAAATTCAGTTATAGACTTGGAATGCTCCAGCTGTACTCCCCAGGTGATTCATGATGCACTGAACTGAAACAACTGACACCTGTGACCCAGAGGAAGCCTGCAGGAGGTTTACAGAGACAGGTACTTTGCTGAAAATGTAATGTGCTTACATCAGTTGCTACGGTCTTTCATTGCAGGTGTTGCCAGGGTCTTTGCTTATCACTGTGACACCATCCACCTCCTCAGTGTTGTTAACATCATGGTGGGTATTATCATCCATCATTGTATTATATCAACCGTAACCTCTGCATCCTTCTTAAGATGTTTGAACACGTGTTTGTATGTGTTGTTAATGAATCTTTTATTAGTTTAAAGGTAGAATTCTTTCACAAAGCATCACATATATTTCTATTTATTTAATGTAGGTTTCATTTTTTGTAGTTACAACAGAATTTTGTTTTTTTAAAAGAGAGATTTTTAATTTCAATATCAGGAAGATATCAACAAGAGAAGCATTTGCTTGGCCTTTGAACTGTTTCACGGGGGACAGTACGCAGCAGCAACAATCAGTTGTGAGTAAGAACTTTACTTATAGTTTCAAATATTTTCATTTGTGATTCTGATTAAAGACTTCTATTGCCGATGAATGAATCATATGAATTTCATATCCCCTATCAGGTAACGGTGCTGTTTGGCTCGAAGTCCATCACTTCCCCTCAGAGACCTGGCTGAAAGAGTTAGAGATGGTGGCATCACAGACGCAGGTACGACATGGTAACTTTACTGTTTAGCTGGCTTGGACATGATCAGATGTCACATATGGCATCGTACCAACAGTGCAATGTGATTGTCAGCAGAATTTGTGCATTATGAATTAGAGAAAATGCTAAACTAAAATGTGCACCAATACATAATGGTACAAAGAACACTATAGGGTTTGCAGTCAGTGCTGCCTGGGGAAGAGCACCATCTCACAATTGAAACTTATAAAAACTATAAAGGCTGCTAGTCCAAGTCTCCTTGTTCTTCATCTCATTAAATTTCTCTTTGTACACATATTTTGCACACTAACTTGTGAAAAAAAAAAAAGTACCCACCGCTCTCTGTTCTTTCTTTTGACTGACCTGGTTGGGAGACATTATTCCAGTTGTTTTTGTCATTATAATGTATTACATTGTATATTGTATATGTTTTTTCATTTTTAATCTTCAGGAACCCAACTTCTTAGGGGGTGTAAAATGGTCACCGTTGTCAGTGGCAACTAAAATCAAGCCACCCCAAATCCCAGCAGGTAGAATTTTATTGATGACACTTGTGGGCATGATTGTTTTGTACATTATTATTATTGTCAATAATAATAGATATATATATCTTGTTTAATGACTGTGTGTACAGTCTCTTACATTTTCCGACATAAAAATGTAAGAACACACTTTGGTCAATTTGCCCTGTTTTTACTGTTGTGCAGGGACAGCACTGGAAGGTCCACATGCGGTGCAGGTGGCAGATTTTTTGACCTACTTTTCAGCTTTGGACGTCGATACCAGGAGTCGCCAGGAGAAGGAACAGTCTTTCAATACTAATGCAGAAAAAAGAAAACAAACTAATGGAAGCACAAGGTACAATTAACACAAATACAATCAGTATTTCACAGCCGAGCTGTCGTACACTGCATGATTGCTCTGCTGATGAAGTTTTTCTTTTTAACTCTGGTTAAAGACGATGCCCTTGATGATATTGCCTGTGAATCTTACAGATAAATATAGATTTTCACATTAGTAACACAGAGTCTTCTTTTTTTTTTCAGATGTTGCACCCAGCACTTTCTTCTGCCTTGTGCGCAGTTTTCCAGTGACCGGTCTCAGCGAGGTGTGTAACGGAGGAGTGGTAGAGCTGGGTTCTCTTTGAGGGTTGAAGATATACATTTTCTATGATAAACAGTTGACTTGCAGACACACCGGTGTATTCCTGCTGATTATTTCAATGGATTCTAACCCTCTTATTCTTGAAATCCCTTATAAAGACTTCGTCTGTAGTGGCAGGTCCTGCTCCTGCTGATATCATTTTTAATCTTTGACTCTTTCTCAGCAGAGCTGCCTGTTGCTGTCTGTGTGTGGTGGACTGGTGATCACAATCTTCTTCAGTATTCGCTACAAAAAGCACCAAAGAACAAACCAGGTAGAGTAATTAGTTGTTCAGAGGTGAATCATCTTGATGCTTACAAACCACATCTTTAAAATGTTTTTAATATCTATTGTGGATTTGTATCTTTGTACTTGAGGGGGCAATAACCATATTTTAGCATATTTTCCTTTTTCAGATGTTGAACCTATGCCAGATGTGTTGTGGCCAAATGCAAAGAAAATCCTCTGCTCTGCTGTGAGTAGATGCACCCGCTACATAGCTCTTGCACTCGATAGTGCTCTGGTGTCTGTCTGGGATAGGCAATCTGGTGAGTAAATATTACAGTGAAGCACCTCTTACTTTCTATCAAATATGACCCCAGTGATGTTTACCAACAGCAGTTTATATGACATTATCTACTTGATGTAAACATGGTTAAAAGATGGATAAAGCAAAATATAGGACATTTCAGTTGTGGTAAGTATTTCTACATTTACATTTTTCTCATTTAGCGATTGGCATTAGTATGACAGCAATCGTTTTACTTCATGTTCCCAGCAAAGTGATTTAATTAATTTGAAATTTAATTAAAATTGAAATTTTAAAGAATTAAAGAAAGCTGATACTGTTACCCTCTATCCACATCACTAGAAGACCACTTTACTGTTCAGAGACACTTACATTACAAGAACTAAGCATGTATGTCATATGGTTTGCTAAAGCTCTGTGTGGAAAATGAAATTGATTTATAATGAAACACAATCAAAGATTTATTTTTTTTTCACATTCACCGTCCCTCGCCCTAATATTCCTAACCTAACCAATAATGAGCCTTTAAGCCAGTGTGAGCAGGTCTTTTCCCACTTCAGGTTGAAAAACAATGAAGGTTGGCCAGAAACCTCCAGTAGGAGGGTGCTTTTAGCTAATGTTAGTTAACGTTGACAATACTGCATTTTAAAATATTGCACATAATAGTTTCAATGGTTTTAGCACAAAATGACTCATGGTCAATATTTTCCGATAATGTGGTTAACCCTACACGATCTCATCTCACAGCGGTCAAATGCAACAAAAGCAAAACATTTTACAATTTACAATAAAATAGAAAACCCTTATGTAGTTTTAGTGTCAGCCATACTGTGGGCTTTGTACCAGACTATTCTGGAGTAGAGTGATGTCAGGTTTCACCTTTCACCCTCCACCTGTAGTTGGTGGGTATGGCCACAATAATGATGTCATGATTCTGCCCCACTTTTGAACTTTTGGGAGACCGTTTATGTTATTGGCACATTTTAAAAGATCTCCTGTTGTATGGATTTTTTTATGTCATGGACTTTTACCTTGTTTTCTTTGTGTTTAGATTTCTAGATTTGTGTTCTTTGTTTGTGCCCTCTCTAAGTTCGTTGCTTCTCTATTTTATTTTGAAACCATTTTTCTTGTGTCTCTCTTGCTTTACATCCTGTCTTTGTCTTGTTTCCTGTCCTTGTCCTTGTCTGCACCTGTCTTTATGTGTTTCACCTGTTATCCGTAATGCCCTTATGTCTGTATTATCTCTGTGTCTCCCTGTGTCCGGTCATCTGTTTCAGTTTGGTTTTGTTCGCACCAGCTGTGTCTACTGTTTTTGGTTTCGGTTTTGTAACTGAGTTATTTTGCCTGCCAGCCTTCTAAATGTAAGCCTGTTTATTTTTAATTAAGTATTTTTCCAGATCTTGCTGTTTTTTGTTTGTCTGCATTTGGGTCCACCATAGAACAAACAACATGTACAAAACATTAAAGCAAAATTCAGTGAATTTAATTGTGCTCCTTGTCTCAGTTAGATATGAGATATATTTAGGATTCCCTAAAGACAAACTTCACAGGGAAGCCATAATGAGGATGAATCAGTTGATGGAAAGTTTCAACAACACGTGTGTGTGTGCGTGCGTGTGTGTCTAATTTAATTTAGTTAGTTATGGCCTGTTTGATTATCTTTCTATCATTTTCTTGTATTTCCCTCAGGGTCTCAACTGTCTGTCGTCTCAATGTCCACACCAGACTGTGCCATCTCCAGGATTCAGTTTGCAGATCACTGGCATGTGTCCACTGATGAAGTCCATCTTTTGCTGGTGTGTAAGAGTGGAGCAATTCACAGAGTCACCACAGGACGAGGAAGACCGTGCTGCACAATGCCGCTCACTGAAAGGTTACCTGAGTGAATCAAGTGCAGTCATATTTTTATTTTAAATAGATATATTTGCTAATTATTTCTTATGTTGCTACAGCCCAAAAGACAATGGGGACCTCCCAACAACCAGCACATCAGTGCCGTTCCTGCAGAGCATGGTAGGAACACTGCATTTGTTTAATTGTCATCTCCTTTGATGCTGTTGTCTTATTTTTCTTCTGCCTCAACTAGTTCCTTGTGGTGCAAAGAAATGGAAAAATGTTCCTCCAAGATGTCATCAATAAAACCACAGTGCGCTGCTTGATTCCCCCTAAATCTCATCTGATTGCTACTCCCTGCAATCCTGTTTATGCTTTGAACACCAAACGGCAAACTCTGTTCATACGAGGTAAACTTAACGCCGTGTTTTGTGACCTCTGTCTGTTTGTTGGTTTGTTTGTTTATGTTTGTTTGCCAGCAGGACTTGGTGTAAGAAAACACCCATTTAATTTTTGGGTAGATCCAGATCCAGATTTTTTAAACTGTCACAGAAAATGAGAATGAGAATGTAAATTGTAAATTGAATGCAGTTTGATTGAACAAGAGGGGATTTGGGGGGTCTTAGCGTCTTTCTAGTTTTTAATTAAACCAAAGTTCTATTCAGCTTCAGCAGATAAGCATTAATAAGACACTCACTGGTGATCATCTAAAGGACCATGACGTTCAAATTAACTGTCTGTTTAACTGCATATGTAAATTGTTAAGCTTCACAAACAAGGTTCTATGAAACTGAACAAATATTTCCATGTTTCACGCAGGTGATCAGGACTCCAGCTGTAGAGCGTCCTCTAAAGACGACAAAGATGGCCAGAGTCACCTTCTCATCTTTCGTTTTGGAGAGTGTGATATTCTCAAGCAGTTCATTGTTTCACCTCCAGACTCTCCACAACAAGAAGAAACACAGAGCTTTGTCTCTCTAGAAGAAACCTGCAATCTCTACCTTCAGCAAAGGTTTGTGTTATTTGTGCCTTGTACCTCCAATATCAGATTTTCATCCCAAGAACAAAGCACAATCAATGCATATATGATTATTAAAGATGTCATGTTTGTCCTATGTTCCCTTATGAAGAGCACTCTCTGTGGATGAGAGGAACAAAGCTCTTGCACAAACATGGAAGCAATTACAGGAAACTGCAGCAATGGCTCAGCAGAGACACAGCAGAGCAGCAGCTAAATGAAACGCTGCTACACATGGTACAGTCATAGTCGATATATACAAAACATTTGGGGCAGTGATTTTGAATTTGTCTGAAACTGCAATGTATTTGTTTTTTGGTTAAATTGGGTAAAAACTGTATGTTACTGGAAGCTACTCCTTATCTGTCTTTTAAAAGGATGAGTGTATTCAGACTGATTAGGACTGAATGCACTCATCCTTTGCCTTTGGGGGCCTTGAATGTTTCATATGTCATGTTTTAATGTCAGAAGAAAAAAAAAGCTTGGACATGTTGCAGAGATTTTTAGGTTTAGTTTTGGTTTTGGCCAGTCACTTGCAAAGAGACACATATGTTCTTCTGCAACACTCACATGCCACTTATACAGCTTAAATATAAAAGAAAACATTAAATTCATTTATTTGACATTTTGACCCTGCCAAAAATATAAATAAAAATAATCACTCAATGTCAGTTTTGAAGATATTTTTCCAAATACAAGCATTCAGGGAAATACCTCCGCCAAGGCCCAACAGTTCCTTTATGAACATTTAAATTCGATAGGTTACATGCAAACATGCAAACATTTATATCAGTCTCCTAAACATGGCAGACCAAACATAATGGGAATATTTAAATTTCTGTGCTCTTTTAGAAAACATTTATCTGCACTGTTGCATCATTTGTTTTTCCTCTTCACTGTTCATATTACATTATATGGTAGCATCTCTCTGATACTGATTCTATTACCAGCTTGTAACATCATTTGAATGCTAACATCTTAACTTAGATCCCAAAGGTCCAAACATCAATGAGTGCATCACAAAGGCACAGGTGCTCTATTCAGACAGCTTGGCGTGTGATGCTGTCAACACCAGTTTGTTTGTCTGAAAATGATCTGTCTACAAGATAGATGAAGAGTTGTGATACAAAAAGAGTAGCTTTGAGATTATTGCTAGTTAGACATGAGAGTGAACTGCAGAGAAAATATACCCCTGTTGTGTCTGTATGGTCAATATGAAGCTACAAGCAGCAGTCAAATATTGTGTTCAATATAAAGCTTGTAGAAGATTTTGAGAGAGGCTGTTTCTCCCTTTGTCTGTATGATGAGCTTTGTTAACCAGCTGCTGGACTAAATATCTCTTTGTTATTTTATAAGGTTTTTCTTAGATATACTCATAATAATAAAGTTATTCTTTATAGAGCAAACCATTAAGATATTGCATGTTAATGAGATTTACATGTGCTGGTGTTTATTGGACAGAGACCGTCAGAAAAAATCAATGTGTGTAAGTATTGAAATTTTCCTTTTTGGCTGACAAATGATTTAACAAAGGGTTTAATAATCAATTTGGCATCTGCTTTTTCCTCTATGATAGTATGTAAGATAGTAATATATGGGGTGACACCAAGCAATTGATTGGCTAAAAATAACTGGCAAACTCTATTTTCAGATTGTGTATTCGATTTCATATTTAGGAAAATAATGCATGCAGTTAATGACAGGAGGACACTATAGATAGATTTATTTTGTCAAACATGAAGAAGGCACAAATCAATTATGCTTACAATCATTTTCTATGATAAATGTTGCTCAGTCAAATATTTAATGAATAAATACCTAGAGGTTTTATATAATCTTTCTGATTCTAGCAACCATTCAACATAACATTAAAATTGCTTTTTATATTTGAGTTGAGGACGATTTTAAAATGATCTCTGATCCCTGCAACAAATTCATTCATCACAATTTGGCCTTTCCATTTGTGCAATATGACTCATTTTCACTGATTGTGGACAGCCGCCCCCTCAGGGATCCAACTGCTACACATCAATAGAGACATAAGTGGGTTTGCATTAGAGATCTACTGACAAATTGCACCGCATGATTCTTTTTTTTTCATTACAATTGCAGCAGTTTGTGTTTGCCCCACTTGCACGGGGCTTGCTGGACTTTTGCCTGCAAGAGATTCAAAATAGACTCTCATCCCAGTGGATACATTTAATTTAATTCAAGATGTCAAATTACAAGATTTATAGCACATAAACATCCATTTACCAAGTTTCTCCTCTTATAGGAAATATATATTTCTTTCATTTTATTATATACAGAAGTATAATTTTTTCAGTAAAATGACAGTGTTCAAGAGATACAGGACTCCACACATTAGACAATGAATAAAGATGAATAAATAATATAGTTATACAACATTATATAAAACTATCTCCTGTCCTCACATGGTGCTGTCGGAGCTGGACTGGTTTCGATCTCGAGCTGTATAAATGTCTGCTGTTAAAAAGCTGCCACCTTGTGATGTTGACTCTTCTTTACCGTGATTGTTACCGTACATCGTGAACTTCTCCTGGCTGGCAGGGCTCACCTCTCTTTTCAGTGGTAAAATATTGGCAGCACAAGTGAAAGATCCAGTTAAAACAGTGTTGTTATCCAGGTCAGACGCTGGAGGAGCTCTACAAAAATACCTCCGGAGGCCCTTTCGGAAGTGAATGGTGAACAGGCCGTAGATGACCGGGTCCAGGCAGGCGTTGACGAGACCAAAGATGAACAGGATGTGGGTGAGCGAGTGGGAGACTTTCCCCTCAAGGTCGTCTGGGAAGAACCAGTACCACAGGCCCAGCAGGTAGTACGGAGTCCAGCAGATGATAAAAGACAAGACAATAACTATACTCATTTTGAGAGTTCTCATCCGGGCTCTGGGGATGTTGTTCTTTGAACACCGCAAATGCACCTCATTGGACGACACTGGAGGCAGAACAGATGACAAAGAAAACAAAGAACACATTATCAAAGCCTTGATACAAATACAGATTAAATGTATTGTGTCATATGTGAAAACTTTAGCACTCTTACTGCATTCATATTAAGATTACTGATAATAATAATACATTTGTTTTTGTCAAGATTTCAAGTGGTTTAGTCTGGGAGGGCTGAGTTAGCGAAAAGATGCTGAGTTAGAGAAAAATCCTTACTCATGATTGAGGTTTCAATTTGATTGACTCTGACTCATCCAAAATTATAAAAAGTTTTCCTGGGCCAGGTTCTCTGAGATCTTCTAAAAATTGTATTTTGACAAAACTCACAGACTACAGTCGTGCTATTGTAGGACTAAACAAAAGAGCTGAGGCTGATGGGTATGTTTGTATATAGGTATTCAATCAGAGGTCAAGCAGGGATTACCAATATTGACCTGATAGAATTCATTCACTAACCCTGACATTTAGCAAATTTCATTCTCACACATACGCACACGATAGCTTTGTTTAAATTCAGTTCAAACATAATACGTAGAAGCATCTCACATGGTTGTAATCTCTATAATTCAGCATGTGAATATGTAGAATCTGGAGGGACACGATTTGGGGGCTGGAAGGTTTCTGTTTTTTTGACTTACGTGATAAAAGAAACTAGTCGGACTGTAAATGGTAAACAGTAGTTCAGGCCCAGATATTCACTGTCTACACTGGAAGGCTCAAAATATAGGTTCATACCCCCAGAGGTGAATTAATTGCAGATGATAGTCAATAATATTGATCCACTGAGCATCAGCCTGGATTTAAACTTACAGTTGTGGCTTTTCAGTCGTTTGGAGATCTCACAGAAGATCCTTGTGTAGCAGATGATCATGATGGCCAGAGGCAGCAGGAACAGGCAGGAGAAAGTGAACATGTTGTAGGCAGTTTCATGCCAGTGACTGACGAAACTTTCACGGGTCGTGCACTGAGTGAAGTCCTCGGGATGAATGATGGTCACATTGTGAAAAAGGAATATCTGAGGAGGGAAAGGAGCATTATTCATCTTCAAGCATGTGAAGTAACATCCATTGATGCTCGTATGTGTTTGGATGTGGCCAGGTCATCACTGTGGTCTACCTGCCAGGTGGTGGATGTTGTCCAAGGACATGAAATGTGGTGGAATTATTTTCTGTGCTGCTATTTGGTCATGCAGATGCTATTTGTTTAATATGCCCGGGTATTCAGATAACAGTTCCAGAGATGCTAACATTTCAGGAAGTGGATTCATCCTCCCACTTTGTAAAAATCATCCACTTATAAGTTAGAAACAAGGATTTTACAGTATATATCTTTCTTAATTTGAATTCCTAAGTACAAGCAATGATAGCATGCATGCCTTCATCTGATTCTTTCCAAAACAGCCTCATCTCATGTTTTTTAACGAGGAAGATGAAGACAAAAGCCTGCAGGATGCTGGTATGCACGGATCACGATCAGGCCAAGCTTATTTGGCTGTAAATCAACTTTACTCTTATTATTTTGAACATTTCAATTGCAGAAATAAAAAAACCAACGAGGAATTAACTAATTATTTGTGTCGCCACAGCTTGATATTATTCCACAGTGCCTCCAGTGACGTCTGTTACAAACATGAAAGAGCCACAGGCTGGTAAATAAATGTTAATGTTGGCAAAAAGCTGTTCTTGCAGATGCGTTCATCTTTTTTTCAGACTGGGGATGGGAGAGCAACTGGCCGCCACACACTGCATACATTTTTGTTACAAGGTTGTAAAATATTACTTTTGGAACAGATGTTGAGAGAAAACTTAACCCAAAAATATCGATCAGAGCAAAGACAGTGGCTGTCATCACTTATTGGACCACACACCTAATCAGACCTGTTTGATTTAAACTAGTTCTGTCCCCTGGCCCCTGTTGTTAAGTGACTTTACCTGAGGGACTGACAGCACGACACTCATGGTCCACGCCACAGACAGCATGACTCTGTTCCTCTTTCTGGCCTCGTTGATAGCCAGAGGGTTGAGGATAGCTGACTGCCTGTCCAGGCTAATCACCACAGTGACAAAGGCGCAGGAGTACATCGCCTGCAGCTTGAGAAACATCAGTAGCCTGCAGGCAAGGTCCCCAGCAAGCCACTGGACTGTGATGTTCCACACTGCATCAACTGGCATCACGATGAAGGTCACGAGCAGATCAGCCACAGTCAAGTTGACTATCAGCACTCTGACGTGTGATTTACGCTTCCCATCGCTGTGGGCTGCCCACAGCACAGCCAGGTTGCAGAAGGCCGACGTGGCGCAGAGGATGAAGGTAATTGTCACCCTGACTTTGGCTGCTGTGGTGAATGTGGGCAGCTGCAGGGTGTCGCCCCCTGCGGTCCAGTTGGAATGGGGAGAGGAGCCGTTCCAGCTGGAGTTGAGTTGATGGTCTCTTGGCAGGTGATGCATGGTCGCTGCAGAGTCACACAGAGTGGTGTTCATCATTTTCTGAGGCGCACAAAGTAAGAAACATGCTGCTTATCCATGTGAAGAGCATTGTTAACCAGAGTAAAAGAACAATTGGAAATCAACCAGGTGTCGGACAGATGAGTCAGGGGCCAAGTAGTGGGCAAAGGTCATTCAATTTGTATATATGGACACATCAGTGTCTTTACAACTCAGTGAAGTGGCAAGGGAGGAGTTAATGTACTGTGAGGATCATAAAAAACATTATAGAGTACATTTAGCTAATTTAATCTTGTATGCACATGCACACATTTCCTAGAGTACATACACTTAAAACATTTAAAAACAACCTGCCAGCCTGAAGTGCTCTTAAGTACTATTTCTTAGAAAGCCTGAGAACATGATAGATTACATTAGTGTTCAGTCACTATGGCTACCATATACTGAATGTTTGGTTTCTGGTCTCAGAACAAAACTGTTTCCAAATAAATATATACAACAAGCAAATTAATTTAATATTTGATTACAAAAGTGATTGTAAGTCTGTGTTTTATTAGATATATCTAATATTAGATATATCTAATATATCTTAGATATATCTAATATATCTAATAAATCTAATAGATATATCTAGATATATCTAATAAAACTACTATAGTAGCCTAATGTAGTTGCTCACACATGCACAGCACTATACTATATGACTGTATATGACACTGGATTCATTCTACAAGCAGCAGTTCTACTAAAAAAGCCTTTTGAGACATATATGAGATTTCTACTATTTTCTCTTTGTGCGTGGCATTGAAACTAAAGTGGATCTACAGCCTCACTAAACAATATTCGTGCAGCAAGTGATGTTTGAAATAATCATACAAATTTCTTAACAGTGGACACTGCACCTCCTCATTTCATCATATGATGAGAAAATCAATGGACTTATTTAAGGATTCAGGATGAGCATCTCTCCTTATGTTAAATTCATTAAAAAAGGTAGCTGTTAAGTCATAAACATGAAGGGACACTAACTTCAGATATCATAAATCATCTCAGTGGAAACATCTGAATTTATTACTGTTTGCGCCACTGTTATTGACAATTCTTTAGATTTCTCAAAGAGAATATCTGTAATATGAGACTACAGGCAGAACATTAACTATCTCTCATTCACATATTTTACATTGAAACGTTTGATTGAATTTACACGGTCTAGTTAATCCTAATCATTTGATGGCCACATGTGCAACAAAGACAAACATAACATTATAGTAAATATGTATAGTGAATCCTACGCACAGTTCATTGTAATTGCAGAGTACAGCGATCACAGAAACCAAAGAAAAGACAATCTCACGTTCAAGTGCTGTGGAGGCTGAGGCTGATGCGCAGGTTTGGAATATTAAAAAAAAAGGAAAAGATCCCAGCAGCTGTAAGATGAGGAACGCGTCAGGTTCCACCAGCACATATGTGCAGCTCCTCTTCTGTCCTGTGCGTCATGCGCGTCCTGCGCGCTCTGCGTCCGCTCCACCTTTATCTGCATACCAATCAGAGCCCAGCAGGACAAACCTCCGGGGTGTGGTCTGTCTCCAACTCCACACTCACTGACAAACCAGAAAAGAAAAGAACCATGAGTGTTTGTTTTTTTCCTCAATATATTTCATTCAATAATTTGGACTTGATATTAATAATAAAAAATAACAGCGGGGATAATAACAGAGCCGCTCAGATGTTGTTAGGGCCATATGTAAACTTAACTGTAACATCAGACATGATTCATGAGGCAGGACCCAGGCAGCTGAGTGTCTCAGTGCTGCTGAAAAAATAATATCCACTTTGAGAAACATGAGCATGTCTGCAGTAAGAGAAGTCAAGCCTGTCCGCTGCAGGAATATAGAAACCAGCATTAATGAAATCTGTGCAGCAAACACAGAGGGTGCTTTTTCTGGAGTTGTTGTTCCAACTTCACTCTGAATGTGGAAAACTCATGGAAGCTGTAAACAAACTGAGTCCTATAAAAGTGTTTGGAATGTTTAAACAACACATTGACACTTCTGTCCAATATTTTCACATTAACGAAGAGTAAAGAAAGAGGATCAGGTGTGACTGATAGATCATTTAAATATATCGGTATTAATGAAATGTCTGTATTTGTTCAAAATGGTGTCAGATGCCTGAGAGAGGCAGATGTGTAGTTTGCAAGTGAAAATGTTTTAACATTTGACAATTTCACATCAACAGAAACTAAAATTATGTTAATTGGTTAATGAGCGAAGATGTTAGCAACTCATGTACCAAATTTTCACAGATGTTCCGAGTGGAGGTAGCGTTCTCATTCAGTCGAGAACAGATTTTTCTCTTTATTCAGACACCACATGAACGTACGTTTTTAAAGGTACAGTGTGCAGAATTTAGTGATATCTAGTGTTGAAATTGCATGTTGCAGCTGAACACCCCTCATCTCACCCTCTCCTTCCAAACATGAAAAAGAACCTGTGGTGAACTTCAGTTGTCATAAAAACTCAAAAGGTGTTTAGTTTGTCCAGTCTGGACTAATGTAAAAAACATGGCGGCCTCCGTAGAGAGGGTCCCCTCAATGTAAATATAAAGTATTTGAATATAAAGGGGCTTTTCTGTGGTAAAGAGAACTACATAAACATCATGAGGATTACTCTACATTAGATTTCTGCCAATAGTTCCCTTTCACCTCAATCTTACACACTGGACCTTTAAAGATGGAAACTTCTTGATCCCAGGTACACTCAAATATTGTTTCTGTCATTTAAGGTAGTTCCTATGATGTGTTGAAGTTTTGAATAATTTCCAGGAAGTTTGGTTTTATTTGGTCATTTTAAGTTTTAAAATAAGAAGCGGATTGTCATGATTGACAGCTGAGAATGATCTCCCCCCTCCACACCACGATCAAGACTACACAGAATCTGCCTCCAAATGAAGTCTAGGATACCTTAGCTTCATTTTTGTACAGTGGGGAAGGAAGTGGAGAAGTGTCATCCATAGCCACATTTCTATAGTTTATAGGTGTGCAACACAGAAGGGACAAACTTTTAACACAAGTTTCTACAATTTGATGTGTTGATAGAGGCATAAACACCTCTGAATGGATGTAAAGACAGACTATTGACGGAAGTAACTGGTCCTCAACCAGAATTAATCCAGCATATCTTCTGAAGTCAAATGGACTGACTCTTTTGGCTTTTTATTCACCACACAGACAGAAGAGTGTATCAGCTCTGGTAAAACCATTAGCATAAAGACATATCATTCCTACTAGGGTTTTTCATTTCCTTACAAATGTATTTCAATGGCACTTTGCCCTGATGAGAGCCATCTACTTTGTCTGATCATGTGAATTACTGAGATTTCATGAACATGTCCAAGTGGATCTAACACGCTTTTTCAATGGCAATATTCCACTGAAAGTTGATCACAGACCAAGACGAGGAGGAGAGGTGACAGGGATTAAAGCAGCCTTTCAACTTCTCACAGCACATTCCTCTGCTTTAGTCATGTCACCGTGAGAAATGCAAAAACAAAAAAGGGAAAGAGTGAAGGCCACCAACAGGCTGCCATTACATCGTCAAAAGTCCATTTCCCTGGCAGGACTGTGTATGAGAAACTGAAACAATGTGGGGGCACATTTAAGGCTTAGCAAGGTCAATACATTGGCTAGCTGTCTCCTCATATGGTTGATAAATTCCTTATTTACCACTGTTAACCAAAGTTGTTGTTAGTATTATTATTATCATTAGGTCTATTAATAATAATAATGTTTATATTAAAAAGAAGAAGAAGAAGAAAAAGAAAACAAAGAATACATGTATACATTTGTATATTGCTTTTAAAGGTCCAGTGTGTAAGATTTAGGTGAAAGGGAACTATTGGCAGATATTTAATGTAGAATAATCCTCATGATGTTTTCACTAGTTTGTTTCATCTAAATTGTATGAATTGTAGTTTTCTTTACAACAGAAAATACCCTTTATATTTAAATACTTTATATTTGCATGGAGGGGTCCTCTCTACGGAGGCCACCATATTTTTTACATTAGTCCAGACTGAACAAACTAAACACTTTTTGAGTTTTTATGACAACTGAAGGCTGCCACAGGTTCTTTTATCATGTTTGGAAGGAGAGGGTGAGATGAGGGGTGTTCAGCTGCAACATTCAGCAATTTCAACACTAGATATCACTAAATTCTGCACACTGTACCTTTAACAATACCCAAACACACTTTACATGAAATTAAAAAAGGGAAAAGAAAGCAGATAAAAGCAAATAACTATTATTGAAACTATGATATGAAATACATATCATAATCACACATTGAAATATTTGATAGACATCATGATACATGTTGTAATTTTGATTCGATTTTGTGCGCTTCAAAAAAAACATTTTGAACTTTTTCTTTGCACAGGAATAAAAAAAAAAAAAGGTAAATCTTTTACTCAAATCTCTGGATTTTACTAGAGTCAAGACAATTGTTGTTGTTCTTGTTGTTTGTCAGTGTATGTGCTGGACTGTGATCTCATTCGGATGAGTAATTGTGCCCTGAGGCTGGGTGGTCTGTCAAGTGTTTGTGTCTGCATCACATTCTTTCTTATTGACGTCCATTTATTAGTATTCAGGAAACATTCAGAATCAACACTCCAGCGAACTTGAAGAACCCATCACTGTGGTTTTGAGCTAGGTGAACATTTTGTCAAGTTCAACTTGATTAATATCTAGTGTGCACACCGTTACTCATGTACCTCAGTTATTTCATTTTTCATATTGTGTCTTAGTGTTTGGCTTAAAAATCTGACAGTTGCATAAAAAAAGACAAATATAATATCTGGATATATATCTGGGTGAAAAAAACAGCACAACACATGTAGAACACACTGAGAGAGAGATTTTGGTGATAGGAGCTGATGCCTGCAGCAGACTTATTATGTAACGTCCTGCCTCTGCCTGCTGCACCACATGTCTGAGCGGAGAATCTCCTGCTGCTTGTGAAAGGCTGGACAACTTCTGCACCCAATACACTGGATATTCTCTGGAGTTAATTTCTGAAAACTGTTTAAGTGGTGTTGGATTTTTGGGTTAAGGCTGTGTGAAATAAATGTGTTCTATCTATAAAGTTTTAATGTTCAGTTGTTGTTCAGTATAGAACAGACCGTAATCATCTGAAAGGTTTCCCCAGTTTGAACAAAATGTTTTACATATCTTCCAAATTTCACCATGTGATGCTACGTCTTTAAAAACCCCTCAAGCAGTCAGGACACACAATTTACAAAATATATGTTAACACATTTAGACTTTGCAGTAAAAGCAGATTATACTTAAAGTGGAGATGCACAGAAAACAATATTCAACATTTTGATATGAAGAAACTGATACTTCCAGCCAAGGGACTGTCAAAGCACTACTTGGTCCCCTTCCTGTGATGACTTCCTTGTATTTTACAGGACCTGTTGTGCGTATTGCAATGGATTAATTTCCCTGGTTCCAATTTACATGTGGTGTTCAAGTTACAGCCAGGAAAGAAAAGAACATGCTGACCCGAAACATTTTGTTATTTGTCAGACTATTCGTCCGGCTTGGTTCATTCTGAGCTCCTGAAGCCAGGTCATGATCCAATGCACTCAGTGCACTCATTTCACACTGAATTATGTTTTTAAGTTGAAAAGCAACAGAAAGGATAGATGTAATTGTTTTTGTTGATGGAATAAAGAAAATATACAAAAATATAAAGGTGCGTGTGTGTGTGTGTTGTAGTTTTAGTATTTAAACCATAAACCATAAGGTTTGATGATGCTTTTACATTTAAAGATTTACAGATATTCTTTACTAATTCATATAAAGATAAATTGAAAAAGGCAAAGATGATATTCACTTTATTCTGCATGTGTGCTAGATAATGTGGGTAAACCAGACTCAAATACATGTTTTAAGCTAGACACGTTTCCACATTCTTGTTGGCATGGCAACACTAGCTACTATTAAACCCCACCATAATGAGGTATGTTGCCAAAAATCACAACACTGGTTCTAATTTTAATAACGATCTTGACTTGCTGATTTGCATACCTGCATTAAAGCACCAATAGACTTTCAACATTTATAGCTGTCCATGGAAAGGGCAGTCGTGTAAAACTTAGGACTGAGACATATCAGGCACAACAAGCATCTGATTACATCTCGGTCAAGCAGCCATTAGCTAATTAGAGCTGAGGACTGTGCTGGATGATAGGGTCGATCACTACGAACAACATGATGATGTGATCTTTCTTCATCCTAGGTCACTTAACACTGAATGGTGTTGATTTGATTTCTGTGAGTCATACACATTTACATATATCGCTGGAATATTCAGCGCGAGGCCATTAAAGTGACAATGGTGTACAATATGAAAAACAAGTCATGTAAATATAGAGTCAGACTGGAGTATGCTGTGAAGTGATTCATGTGATAATGTCATACTGTCTACTCAACACGCGTGTCAAATGTAGAAATGCAGAAAGAAATTAATTAATTCAAGTGGAAATAATACATGAATATATGTAGAAAGATTCAAATAAATGAATGAGTACATATGAAATACAGACATAAGTAAATAAATGTAGAAATACAGAAATAATACAGCAATATATGTAGAAAAATACAAATATATGAATAAATACATGTGAAATGAAGACATAATCAAATAAATGTAGAAACACAGAAAATGTGGAAATCCACTAATGAATTAACGAATCTATGGATAAATAAATAAATGTAGAAATACAGAAATATATAAAAGTAGAAATGCAGAAATAAATAAATGTGGAAATGCAGAATAAATAGATTTTATGTTGGAATCCAGAGATCCAGAAGTAAATATGTGTGAGAATGCAATAATACATCGATAAACAGATGAAGAGATGCGGGAATAAATAAATGAAACATCTTAATGTACAAATATAGAAGTAGTGTATGAATATAGTTGGTACGTCAGCAACGCAGTGAAGTTTAAAGCGGCGGAACAGCGCGTCAGGAGTCACGAGACAACAACAGGAAGTAGCACCGAGCGGAGCCGTGAATATGAGACGAACCTAGCGAGCTAAAGAAATAGAGACACCTGCCAACTGAGTTCTGATGTCGATGCTCCAAACCTCTGTGACAAGCCAGTGATATCACGATGGAGGGAGCCGTGAAAACCCTCACTTTGTTGGCCCTTTTCGTGGCTTCGCGGGTAAGTTAAGCTACCGACCATGAGAACTGGCTAGCTGTGTGTTAGCGGGCCCAGTGAGGCTAATTGACGTTAGCTGGAGCCACTGTTAGCTCATTGAAACGTCTGCTCAGTTTGTGCTCGAGGCACTGGGCTCATCTGTGTGTCCGAAGGGCCGTGGTGTTAGCGAGCTAATGCTAGCTGGACTGTCCTGAAACCGAAACCAAACAAGTCATTATATAAATGGAGGTTTGGCAGAGGGTGAGCTCCCCCCGACGCAAAGAAGCATCTGTGAACTGGGCTGATTTATTCATCTGTCATTATATTTTGATATATATCCATAATATGGAACTTTCCGTGACTTTAAATAATAAAGTGTTAGGTTTCGCATTTGCGATGTGACATTTTATGACTTTTATGACACAGTTTCCTGTTTGTTACTACTTTTGTGTTAGTTGTGTTTAATTTGTAGTTACCACTTGGAGTTAACACAATGATGAAGGAGAACAAAAGTTTGATCTCAATCACATCACAGCAGGAATAGGTTTGTTGATAACCAAGTGAAAGGACAGCGTTTAAGACCCATTTTATATCTGGTGCTAACATCCTGATCACAAGTGTGCAGTGCCAAATTCAGATGTGAACACACACAAATGCACCTTCAATGTGTCTCTCAAATCACATTGGGAGGTGGCCACATTCAATTTGCTGTGTGAAGGCAAATACATCTTTGGCCACATCTTGTTTGACCACCAACTCAGGTGACGGCCCCTCACCATGAATCAAGCATGTCTAAAAATGTTCAATGCCCATATGTTGAATTGTTTGTGGCCAGCACAACAACATCCAAGTTGATTGATACTTTTCTTAAATTGGTAAAATCCTTCTTCACAGCATAACTGATTCATTCTGCCCCTCCTGACTCCTCATTCTCTCTACCCCTCTCTTGCTTGCTCACTTGTGCCAAAACACAGACCCACACTGACAGTGGACACATCTGTAAACTCAGACCGGCTATAAACAACATCATTCACTATTTGCGAACAGAAAAGACATACACAGTTATTTCATATAGAACAGTGAGTGAGATCTGATCACAAGTGACCATAGGAGACACATTCAGGACACATTTCAATGCCAGGTGTAAACAGGTGCACTGAACACAGTCCACTTGTGATCAGATCTCTTGGGATGGATCCACCAAGTATGAAGTGCACCAAGCATTTGCACAAGCAGAGCAAACAGTCCAATGTGAGACTGACCACTTTCCTCTCCCAGCAGGTAAACTGCCAAGAAGCGATTCTGCACATTTCAAACGGAATTACAGATAGAGAGTACTGCATCGTCCACAATCACTCCTGGACCCCACTGTCACAAACCCTCGATGGTGCTGTAAGTTTTTCAAACCTGGTTTTAGGAACTATTCTGTTGTGATGGTCAGATCATTTCATTGGCTCCTCAAGCCATTCCTTTCATTTTGTTTCTTTTAATTAATATTTTGGTTTATTTTTTAAAATGTTCCACAAAACATAGTAGCATTTGGTAGCAAACTTACATAAATATGTATTCATTTATTAAGAATTAACAATCAAGCGGTATTGACAACAATTTTAGATGAAACTACTTAATTGTATTGAACGCTCATTATCATTTTACCTCCCAATTGTTATGATGGGGAAAATTGTTTCTTTTCTTCCTCATCTTACCATGTGAAATAACTTGTTTTTCGCTTTTCCAGACCCAGTATCCGCTGGTGAATTTGACTTCCACTATGCTATGTAACAGCTCAGGGGTCAGTCCAGATCTGGTTAAGGGCAAAGCACTGGTGGTGATGAGGGGGGACTGTGATTTCAGCCAGAAAGCTCTGGTTGCCCAGAACCTCGGAGCTACAACTTTGCTAATTGCCAGCAACAAATCATTGGTAGGACATTTACATCCAACTGTATTGTGTTAATTGTGCAAAGGTATGTGATTTGACACTTACGGTCCTGTGTTTGAAATTGTTAACAAAAGAACCATTGGATCTATCCCTGATCATTAAACTAGTGTTGGTGTGTACAAGTGTAACATGTAAGATACAAATGCAGAAGTGATTCAGAAATGAGGAAGTGACACACCAGTGTCTTAAATCTGTTGGTTTCTATTTTTTGTATAGATATTTTTTTATGTAAATCAAATTGGGGTTTTTTTGTTTTTTTTTTCTTCCATTGTTTAAATGTAACAGTATTCATAAAAACAAGTCGTCTGTACTCTTTTTTTTTTTTTTTTTTTAGTTCACTCCATCAGCCAATGACTCTGACTATGCAAAGGTTCACATTCCTCTGGCTCTCATGAGGTACAGGGATTTTCTGGACGCAGAGCAGGTCGGGCAGACTCTACCTTTTCTGGTGCTATTGTATTAGGTCTTGTAACAGCTCACTTTATAAAGGTCGATTTGATGAATCTCTGTGAATGTCCTCAGGTGATTGGTGAAGGGATGACGGTGAAGCTGTACGCTCCAGTTCTCTCAAAGATTGATGCAAGCATAGCAGTCATCCTACTGATAGCCATTGTCACAGTTGCCTTGGGTGGCTACTGGAGTGGGACATGTGAGAGGTGAGATATTGCAGTTGCACATACAGGGCTGAATGCTTAAACCTTGGATTGGTAAACCTGGATAAGATAACAAGAGCAGGAAACAATGTGAAAAAAGATGCAACCGATAGATCCCACCCCCTCCTATCGACCTCGTCAAAGCTACGCCCCCAAAAACACATGAACATGCGCTACCTGACCACTGCTGGAAGTTGACTTGTCTTTGAATCACTAAGTTCTGATTTCTGACTCTGCTGTTTGCCTTTCTGGCTGAAAACTCATAAGGAGCCAGGGCCACAGCTACCAGCTTGTTTCCCTTTTTTTCAAATGACTTAAAGGTTCAGTGTGTAAGATTTAGGTGAAAATGATCTATTGGCAGAAATTGAATAAAAAATAATTCCACTAGTGTGTTTTATCTGCTTTGTACAAATTGTTGTTTTCTTTACACTAGAATGGGCCCTTTATATTTAAATACTTTGTATTTACATCTTGAGCGGGTCCTCTCTAAGCAGGCCGCCATGTTTCTTACAGTAGTTCAAACTGGACAAACTTGACAGCTTTTGAGTTGCAAAGACAACTGAAGGCTACGACAGGTTCTCTTTCATGTTTTGAAGGGGAGGGTGAGGTGAGGGGTATTCAGCTGCAACATGCAGCTTCACCTCTAGATGTCACTAAATTCTACACACTGAACATTTGACTTATCAATTATTGTCTGGGCGTGAAGAAGATTTCAACAAATAAGACAAAAAGATGTTTTCGGGAATTTTTTTTAACCCTACCTTTTAAATTTGAACATATTGAAATATGACAATCGATGTTGAGTTGAAAAGATTTGAATGCGCACAAAATAATTCATACGTTTCTATGTTTGTGGCAGAGATCGGTTGAACAGTGGTGCAGGGCTGGAAGGAGGAGCAGACAACAAAGCAGACAGCGGAGAGCTTTCCCTGTACTCCCCTCTCAAAGTGGTTATCTTTGTCGCCATGATGTGTGGGATGCTGGTCCTCATGTACTTCTTCTACAATGTCCTTGGTTAGTGGGATGTAAAACAGCTCCTCTGTGTCCAAAGAATTGACATGATTCAGTGTTTCATTGGTGTGTTCTGTTTGTCTTTTATCCCCAGTTTACGTCATCATTGCTATATTCTGCCTGGCATGTGCCTCTGCACTGTTCAGCTGTTTTGATGCAGTGATGGAAAAAATTGGCTGTGGCACTGTGAGGTATGAGCAACCCTCTTTCAACAAAGACACAAAACATTATACAAAGCAAATAACAAGTCAGACAGAGTGGGGACAGTCAGGGAAAATGTGAACATTAGTTGTTTCCTGCTTTATTCTCCAAACACACAATGCCTGATTCTCAGTTGCAAGCTGAAAAAAGCTTTTGGTTATTTGAGTGTATTTTTCTTTTTTTCTAGCTTCTCTATCCGAACCTGGAACTTCTCAGTGAGGTCTCTCATACTGGCTGCTGTGTGCATTAGCATTGCTGTGGTCTGGGGAGTCAACAGAAATGAAGACAGGTACAAGACACCACAGTCCCTCTGTCTGTTAAACTCTCACACTCTCACACATGTCTGTTCCACCACCAGAGACTGTTTTGGTGGCAAAGTAGAAAATGCTTGTTGGTTAAAGTGATCTGTTAAACGGCCTCATCATAGTGCTTTTTACATTGCAAAACCTAATTAATTTCAAGCATCACTACATGGTACTATCTTTAATCACATCTTAACAAATACAGATTTATGTTGTATAGAAATGCAACAATTTGTCTATAGCTTAATTAGTAACCTTAGTATCACAATTAGTTACGTTTAACATGGTAATAATGTTGTCTTTTAAGTAATTAAGATGCTTTATGCTGAAGAATGAATCATGGATTTGGGTAAAGACTTTTTGTAGGAGGTGCTATCATTAATACTATAGCTGTTTTCAGACATGACCTGCAGATGAAATCTGGAGAATTGGCTACATAGTTTCACACAGGGTTTGGATTTCACACATGCACCACGCAGCGTTCTCTGCACAGCTGTGTTCACATGAATCCAGCGAGGAGTCCCCCGCTGTGGTCAGATTCTCCTGGATTCTATGGACATTATTCTAGGAGGCCATGCAGAGAAAGTCCACAGAGACTGAGGAGCCTCTCGCTCTGTCATTTGCATTCGCACATGCATCTCCTCTGGAGACAATATGGAGGAACTGCAGAGTTCAATACATGTCTGAAAGCTGCTTTAGTATCTTGATACACCATCTTTCTCTGCTGAATACATTAGGAGGAGGACAGCTGGGCTGCTTAGTTTAACTTCATTTAATCTTTTGTGCCCTTGTAGGTGGATCTGGATCTTGCAGGACCTCCTGGGCGTTGCTTTCTGCCTCAACTTCATGAAGACAATTTCTCTATCCAATTTCAAGGTAGCTTTTCTTTCATCATTTGCTTGAACCTTGTGGAGCTTAAGGAGAATTTTCTTGGCTATATATGTTTGATAGAACCCGCCCTATATATAGGCCTTTCAAAGACATAACATTATCAGGGTTTTTGTTCTTGTTTTGTCATTTGCAGATGTAAAAACCTTTATTTTACAGCAAGACAGAAACGATCTGCATTTATGTTTACAATTTCCGTAATA